GTATACGTGCAAATAATTATAATAATTAGTAATAGTAGTAGTGTAGTGGTGGTAGTTATAATTTTTGAAAATAGGTTTCTTTTTTTTTTCTTCATTAAACTTTATTTTATTTTTTTAGTTTAGAAAACATTCAAACTTAAGAGTCTCTCTTCAGGTGTATATGTGAAGGGAAAAAATGAAAGTGAAAAAAAAAAACAGAAAAAACAGAAGACTGCGACACACGAGAATAACTTTTTCATGGAATTCCCTGCAAGGTCGCCTATCGACCTCTTTCATTGACATAAAGTAGAACGTGCGATGTTTTAAAGAACATTAAAGAGATGTACCAATCATAGATCTCATTTCGAAAAAATTAAAATATCTTTCTTATCTCCATTTTCATATAATTTTACTTAAAATGTATATTCCAAATATTTATTACTAACCTTACGTAAAATTATAATACTTTTTTTTTTCTTTCTTTTTGCCATAATCAATCAACATAATTACGTTCAAACGTATATAAAAGCACAAATATATTACGTATACGCGTATTTACATATGATTAACATAAATTTAACAAATTGTATTTTTTTTTTAAATTAACATAAAATATATCGTCAGCGTAAAATCATTCCTAACTTTGATATGTATTTGATAAATATTATATACACGTACATATATATTATACAGACACATATGTATGTGTATGTGTCGCCTGTGTGCGTAATTTCTTGGTTCTTATCGTTTCCTTCTTCTTTACTTTCTTTAATCGAATCGACTCTTTCTCCACGCTTTCAAAATGTCGTCGTAAATATTTATCTTTCCTCCCCACCTTTCTCCTCCCCCTCTCTCTCTCTCTCTCTCTCTCTCTCTCTCTCTCTCTCTCTCTCTCTCTCTTGCTTTCTTTCTTTGTGGGCACGTTTCGCAATGATTTTCTGGTAGCTGATATCGCCCTTTGTCTGCTGTGCAACGCAAGAACCCAGGGCAGATTAGAACAGCAAATGCATTTATTTATAGAATCACCGAGACCGCGTGTGCTCCTTGCTATTCTGTCTCTGTGTATGTAATTGCGTATATATATATGTCATGTGATATCTATGAATGTATATATATATATATATATCGATATGAACATACATATATATGATACATATACAGTATATATATATATCATATCGAATATATACTTTCGTGTCAATGTATTCGTTATTTTCTTATACATAAGTCACACATATATACATGTCATAAATACACATACACATTATACATTTATATATATATTCAATTTCTGTGCATCACATGTCCTCACGAAGAAAACTAGTAGGGAAGAACAGAAAGAGCGAATAACCCGCGTCTCATGAAACGTAAAGCACATTCGCATGCCAACCGACGACGACGACGACGACGACGACGACGTTGCGTTTAGGGTAAAAAAGAATACAGGAAAAAAAGGGGGAAAAAAGAATGAAAGAATTGAAGGGGGAGAAAAAATAAATAAGAAATTAACAACGCGGCGGTGGTGTGATGGTGGTGGTGGTTGGTGGCGACGATGATAATGATGGTGCATTCGCATAAAAATTATTTACACGTTCATGAACGACCGACGACGACGCGTGCGTGTCATTTCTTCTTTTTTTTTTTCTTTTTTTCTTTTATTTATTATCATATTTTTAATATAAGAGCGAAAAAGTAAAACAAACAAGTCCGTTGCCAGCCACACCTTTGAAAAATTTATTACAAATACAAGAAACGACACAACGGGGAAATATATTTCTAAAGTTATTTATTTATACGATGTTTAAAATAGCTGTTTGAAATAAAAAACAATGATATTCGGGATGCGTTTCGAAAAAATCAAATTCCTTTGTTCTCTGTTTTTTCTTCGAATTATCACCGGCCGGTAAAGTAGTTCACATTGGGCGGGAAATTTGAAAAAAAAAAAAAAACACATTACTCAGATATTATTGAAACAATTTACGAATAATAATAATAACGTTATATAAAATTATTAATACGTGTGTATTTGCTTTTCTATCACGTTGGATAATACTTAGTATTATAAATACGTATTCGTGTAAAAGAAATAAGAGAAAAATTGTGCACGATGATAAGGAAACGCGAGTTTGATTCATCCTTTTATCGATATCGAGCAAAACTTTTGTGTAAATATATCTTCACACTTCTACCATTGCAAACTCTATGATTATCGCTATTACTATATTACACCCCACTACCATCTCGAACAATAACACTTTACTTTTTTTTCTATCGCAAATATGTTGCTGCTTTTATTGCTCGCGCGAATATCTTTTGTCGTCCAAATGGAGACCGCGGACGCTAAAGGAACGCTCGTCATTTCCGGTTAGCGTTCCCGAGGTTCTTCTTCTTTTTTTTTATTCTTATTCTTCTTCTTCTTCTTCTTCGCACGTGATCATCATCATCGTACGTATACTCGCACGAAAACTCGTTTTCAAAGTTATTTTAACGATGCATCTCAAACGAACGATATCACCACCAATTATATGCGTAAGATTGTAACATTTTGATTTGTTTGTTTACTTACAAAAAAAAAAAAAGAAAAATAAAAATAATTTTGTTCAGATGATCGTAAAGATTTAAAAGAAAAAAAAAATCCTCCTCATTCTCCTCCACGTTTTATAATTAATTTGATCAAATAATAATTTCATTGCGTTATTTGAAAGAGAAAAAGAAGAAGAAGTGCATTGAAAATTCAAGAAATTATAAACGAATTTTAATTTATTTTTAATTTAATTTTGTTCTTTCCTTGCAAGCTTGCTTATACGATTTGAAATAATTGTTAAATTTTAGTAATTAATTAACCGAATAATATGATTCAAAATAAGTATTAACGAAAATATTTGAAATTAGAAAGAAGAGATGATCTAAACGATTAAAACTGGATAACAATGTGTTATCTCTTCTTATCATCTACATCGTCGAGTTGAAGTTAAACAGCATAGTTATTGCGAGAAGAAAATATCACAATGAATGTTACTTTCTAACGCTTGTATATAATTTTATTTTTATTTTCATTATTATTTGAAATTAATTTATATGAAAAGAGAAAAGAAAAATGTTTGTTGTTGAATATTAAAAGTTGGTGAAATTTAAATTTTGGTCAACTTTTTATTGGACAGTAGCATTTTTGTGATATAGTGGGTGACACCAGTTCCAATTCGTTGGAAAGAGAGAGAAAGAAATAAAAAGATAGAAAAAGAGAGAGAGAAGTATATATATATATATATATGTCGAGTAATTTTAGCGATGACACTTAGCGCCTACGATGTCGTTCGTTTCGTTGGTTGGTTGGTTGGTTGGTTCGTTCCGTTTCGTTTCGTTTCGTTTCGTTCTTAGAACATTTGTTGGTTTACGCGAATTTCACGTTTTCTTCCTGTTGCCCAATTTATCTTTCTTTACTGTCGAAAAGATAATAAAATCTAACATAAGAGGATTTCTAAAAAAAAAAAAAAACGTGCGATAATATTTCGTAAAAAATTCTAAGTAAAAATATTTAAACAAAGATAATATATTATATATAAGGTTTCTCGAAAAAAATATTTAACGGTCACGTTAGTTTGTTAAATCGATTACGATAAATCGATAAATTGATCGATCGATTTCTTTTATTTCGTTCAAAATTCTAATGCAACGAGAAAAAAAAAGAATTCTTTTTTAAACTTTTAAACGCGCATAATATATATATACCGAAATAATTTTTTATATACTCGATCATAGGACAAACAAACAACACTAGTGTGCGGCTATAATAATTATTATGATAAATTTATTTACAATCCTAAAAAAAAAAAAGTTCAGCAAAATAGTCAACACAGTCAGTAAAGTAATAGTCGACAAAATATTCTGGCATCAAAATGTTAAACGTTATTTCTAAATCGAGATTTTGAAAACGAATAAGGTTAACTCGATTACGAACAACAACTTTATTTTCAATTTTAAAAAAAAAAGGTTTAAGCGTCGAGATAAAAAATTTTCATATTTCACTATCACAAACGTAATAAAATTAAATTAAAATCTAATTGGTCAAAACAAAGAAAAAGAAAATTATTTGAAATCCTACCAAAATTATATAAACGTCCATCCAAATTTATGACACATTTCAGTTTGAAGATAAAAAAAGAAAAAGAAATAAATAAAAAGAATTTCGAAAAAATAGAATAATTATTTTTGACGATTAAACAACGACGACTCACATTTGTAATATTCGCTAAGATATATTTATGTGTCTTCTTAAGAAAGAAAGAAAGAAAGAAAGAAAGAGATAGAGAAAACTACGAAAGCGATTAGATATAATAAACGGAGAAATAGATTAGGTAGAAATCTCACATATGACGAGTCTGTTGTGTGTTGAGAGAGAGAGAATAGTAAGGTGTGCTTCTAAGTAAGATTCGAATCGAGTAATTTTAGCGATGATACGAACGGTCCGTAACGCAACAAGCCCTAACACGAGAGAAAGAGAAGTAGAAGAAGAAGAAGAAGAAGAAGAAGGATATATCCAACTAAAGTTGCGATAACTTATCGGCAATTGGATCACGATTATTTTTATCAGTGCCGTCCGTGTCTTCTTTGCTTTCGAATCCGAGGCGGCGGCGGTGACGGCGGCGGCACACGCGTGATAATAACCCAAGTGGACAGAAACGATAAAAGTGTTACGCGAGAAAAAAAAATATAATATTTTTTCCCTTTTTTGTTTGCCCATGACTATTAGCTTTTTCCCCGTCACTTCCTCCCTTTTTTTCGTTTCCGATCCACTTTTATATTATATTTCTCTTCTTCTTTTTTTTTTTTTGTATTATTTCCAAAGAGACGTGTGTAAATACCTATAAAAAAAAAAGAAAAAGAAAATATCACGTTAAGATAAGAGAATGAGTTAGATAAACGACGAGATTAAATATTAGGATAACTAAGATTCTATGAGTATAATTAAATGCAACAATAATTTATTTTCCTTTTTTCTTTATTGTATTTCTTTTTTACAGTTGGTATCTTTAGACGGATTGCACAGTGGGGTACCAACTAGAACAACGCCAACGTTGACACCAACCACGTTGCGAAGTATCGAACAGACTTTCCTCGAGCTTACAAGCGAAACAGGGTCCCACAGTCGGGAGGCTGGTTTTGTACCACCTTTGGTCGAACCATCCCAACCGACTCCGGCTCAAACTCAAAATCTGGCTACCCATCATCACAATCCTACGAATAATCTGATAGAAAGTCAGCAGACTTTACCTCAACAACAGGAACATCAGCAACCACAACAACAACAACAGCAGCAGCAGCAGCAGCAACAACCACAACAACAGCAACAACCACAACAACAGCAACAACAACCACAACAACAGCAACAACAGGCTACAAAACGCAATATGGGTGGAAGGAGACCAACCAGGACGATTGGTATGACACCGGAAGAAGAAAAAAGACGACAGATTAGACGAGAAAGAAATAAAATGGCAGCTGCTAGGTGTCGCAAGCGAAGAATGGATCATACAAATGCCCTTTTAGAAGTAAGCGACAATTTTTTCTTGTATGTCTTTTCTTCTTTTCATTCATCGTTTAGCTTGTTTTTTTTTTTTTTTCTTAACTCTTTGAAGCATGAATTATACGTTGTTAATTATTTTTTTTTTTTGATAACATCTTAAATAATTAAAATTAATACAAATCTATCCAATAACTTGTTTTAATTACATTGTATACATATTTAAAAAAAGTAGTTAATAATAAAAATGTTTTGAAGATAACGTGGATCCCTTTCGTTGAATTGTAACAATTCTACACACATGCTTCAAATAGTAAACAATTGAATCATCCGATAGTATCAGAATAATCGGTTCTATCGATTACCATTTCCACGAAGGGAAATTTATCATCGATCCCTTCTTCTTCCGAGACACTTGATTCGACGACTCTCCAAAGAATGAATTTCAAATTAAGAACGATATAAAATATATCTTTTTTACGTTCTAGATAGTAACAACATTATCGTCCCTACCGCTATGATCCAACATCCTCGTAGCGATACCGTATATAGAAAGAATTAAAAAAAAAAAAAAAACTGTTACTATCGTGTTACGAGAGTCGAAGAAAATGATTGTTTATAAAAGAGAAGGGATCGATGACAAAAAAAAAGAAAAAAAATAAAAAGAAAAATGATGAGAATAAATTAAAAAAGAAAAAGAAAGTATCATCATCATCCTGTTTCGTGTTCACAGGAAACGGAGGGCTTGGAACAGAAAAAGCAGAGCTTGCAAGACGAGATACATCAATTGCAGCAGACCAAAGACGAGTTAGAATTCATTTTGGAAGCACACAGAACCGTTTGTCGTTTACGTTCGTCCTCGCCACTCGACGTGAAGCCTGTGATAAAGCCGGAAATCCCGCTGGAGGATCAATTCGCTGAACCACCAACAACGAAACGCGACACATTGACGTCCGCAAGACCGAGCAGACCAAATTCACTGCCGGTCGGTTTTGACAATAACAATAGACCAAATTCCTTGTCGTTCTTTAACGAACCAGTATCAATACCAAAGGATAACAATAGACCAGATTCGTTGAATTTTAAAACGGTTGAAACACCGGCATTCATGAAACCATCCCTTGACGTTGCTGGTATGCCAATAACAACTCCAACAAGTGGTATACCATTCAATTTCGATTCCCTGATGGAAGGTGGGACAGGATTAACACCGGTATCAACACCTCTCATACCATCCTGCTCCACGCAACAAAGGAACAATTTATCCGCGGTTGATCTTAGCTCTCCTGACGCCAATCCACCTAAATTGGTCAGCTTGTGACGCCAAGATGACATTATGAAATATGAATCGAATGAGGATGATCCAGAATGAAGCAAATCTTGGCCTGCGATAATTATGCAAATATAGAAACTCGCTTGCCATTTAGAAAGAGATGATATATATATATAACAAAAATGTGGGATTAAACTCTCTGTGTTGTACGTGTGCTTTAATTCGCCTTTCTCATAGATCATTGATCTTTGAGTACTATTTGAAAAGACAATAATAAACACCAATGAATGTCACATAAATTTCAGAGAGAGAGAGAGAGAGAGAGAGAGAGAGCGAGGGGGAGGAGGAGATTGTTTAAGATATAGGTATGATTGAGGAGGAAGAGGAAAATGGAAGAGAAGAAGTTGTTCGTTTTTTTTATTTTTTTGACGTTTTTAACACGTCAAAGAGACATCACGAGTTGCCATAAATAAGAAATATATAATTATAAGATTGTATTTTTTTTTGTTCTTTCTTCAATCCGTATCCCCTCACCAATTGCATCTGAGAATCATATTGGTTTACTTTTTTCTTCTCTCTCTATCTCTCTCTCCTTATGTAGAGTTAAACAAAACAAAACAAAAAATGAAACAATTCTAGTAGCGTTGCGTTGCTATATATTTTTCTCTCTCGTACGTTCGTGCAATACACACACAAATACATACACACATACATACACTAATGAAATATTAAAAAATTACAAATACTTTTTGTTCCCTTCGCGTCCGTCGAGCAGCAGCAGCAGCAACAGATCATTATTTGAAAGATAAAAAGTGAAATTAAATTGTTCTTTTTCTTTTGAATATTTCTTCCTCAGGATCTATTATATCGTTGACTATGAGCGGGAGTATTTTTGTACGTATTATAAAATGCGTATGTTGTAAAAAAGAAAGAAATAAGCCACCTTCTTCGATTGCTAATTATTTAAAAATCGATGAAATAATTGATCATCGAAAAAAATAATACGAAGAATATTTTGATATACGTAGAAAATAAAAAGCTTTGTGATCTTGATCTTTACAATGGAAGAATACATTTAATTGTATACGCTTTTAATTGTAAAGCATTAGCAACGATTTCGAATCGAATAATTTTTAACTATTGTAATGCAATTGTACTCTCTGGTGATGATCGATTTAAAATGAAATATTTTCTATTTTACATACCTTTCCAAAAGCGAGATATATTTAACAGAGATTGGTAAAAATGGTTTGTTTCTTATTGTCATTATTCGAAGGCGTGATAAATAAATGGAGGAATAAAAGTCATACTTTTAATAGCGATACACACCGGTGTGCAGATGGCATGTAGATAGCTAACATCTGCATGCAAGTGATAATAAAGTATATATATTTATATATATGAATATAAATATATATATCTATATATATATAAATTTTTTAAAAGATGCAAATAAAATTAGAATTAATACGAGCATAAGATATTTGTCTCTTTTTATTATTATTATTATATTACTAGAATAATTATTAAATAATTGAAACAAGCGAACAGATTTTATACTATAGATTATAATATACCAACTGAAAGTTTAGAATTTAAGCGAAAAAAGATTAGCTCATAAGATAAAAAAAAAGAATAAATAACTATTTGCTGAGAGCGGATTGATCTTTAAAAGCATTAACCAACTAAGAGTAATTGTACAAACATTTTTCACCTGATAAGAAACAAAAAAAAAAATACAAAGATTAAATTAAAGTCAGGTGTGTTTATGCGATCCGCTCTGTATTTTATAGATTTTGTATGCAACGTTGATGATTGTTAGAAAAAATTCAATCGACGCTAAACAACATTTAATCCCTCCATACATATAATATATATATATATATATATATAAATATATACATATATTTTACTATGTATGACCTTTTCGCATGATTCTAAGCAATATTAATATATTTATACGCGACTGCTACTCGTGGTGCTGGTAAGTTTTTGTTTTGTTCAAAAAGAAAAAAAAATTATTATGTTTCTAACGAGATACGCTTTAAATCGTTCTAATTTAATAATAATAATAACAATAACAATAAATGCAACCAAGGCGATAATTTGAAAATTGTGCTTTCCAACATCGTGCGTAGTGGTCGACAAAAAATTGACAATGATGAATGAAAATTGTAATGCACCACTATGGTGAGATAATGATGCAATATATTTTCATTAAATTAAGCCGATAGAAAGGCTGAAAGAAAATTGTAATAATTTAAAATAATAATAATTGAAAATTTAATTGGGAATTATCTTTTTTCGTAATACAGCGATATCTTTGTCTAATTGATTAATTTTATATATATATTATATACATATATATTTATATTTTTTTTAACAGTATTTTAATTATAATAATATTTAAATAATTGAACTAAATTATACTTAATCGAAATATTAAAATCCAGTTATCCTTTTAATAGCTTCTTGTTCGTCATTAGACTCCATAGCTTTGTAATGACTAAATTCTATCGTAAATGATGAATTTCCAGATGTGATAATTCTTAGATTCGTCGAGTATCCAAGTAAATTCGACAATGGCACGAATGCAGTAATAATCTACATGGAGAAATTATTTAAAAAATATTATTTTCAATTACTAACATTATCTATTAAAAAATTCATTCTTAAAAAGAAATTAATATTATAATAGAAAAAAAAATAATTGTTATTAACCTTATTTCGTCCACGCGTATCAACTTTTTGTATTTCACATCTGCGTTTATTAAGGTCTGCAAGTGTTGCAGATGAATATTCGTCCATTACAACAATTTCTACGTTCATTATCGGCTCCAATATTATACTCTCTCCTTTCTGCATCAGCTGGAAAACAAAATCAATGTTAGATAATATTTTATTTAATCAATTGTCCAATGTTACATTAAATATGAATAGGATTTCAGTTTTTAACATTAGATATGCAATCTATGATTAATAATACTAGAAATAGAAGAAACAATTGAATTATTTCAAAATTTTAAAATGTCAAATTGTACAACACATTTTCTTTAATTATAAAAATTCTTTTTTCATATTTATAAATAGGAAATGCAGAAAAAACTTTAATGGTCGCCGCATATTTATCCCTTTTTTGTAGTATTAGTGAAAAACCATTAGAATATTGGCATAAACGTCAATCGCAGACAGGATGCATTCGCAAGATCTTAGATACCGATTTACTTGACAATGTACGTTATGTTTAATATTTATTTAAATAATTTAACAAAAAAAAAACAAGATTTTAATAATAATATAAAACATATAAAAATTATTTTTATACAGATTATAGAAATTCAGGACATTCAACAATTAAATATTTCAAAAACATCTATTTCTTGTCCATCCGATATAACTAAACTTCTAAACGTTGAATTACCTGTTCTCGTAATAATAGTAAAACATTTTGGAGCCGATTGTCGTTTTCAAATTCAGGTTTAATTTAAAAAAGAAAATATAATGAACAACAACAAATTTTTAGATATAATTAAATAAAATTTAATTAATTCCAGGTTATCGATACGAACAAATTGCGTCATCATTTTCAATTTTATACCGGTGATTCCGATAAAATTCGAAACGTCAAAGACCCAGTTATTTGTCGGGCTAAAATTCAATTGCAATCCGGTTGGAATAAAATAGAATTAAATTTAAAAACTTTAACGGAAACTGCTTTTAAATGCCATTACGTTGCAACGCAGAGATTGGAAATCTGTGCTAATTGTCGATTACGTAGAATATATTTTCTAGATAGACATTATAAAGATTCTGAAATTTCATCCGATTTATATCAAGGTTTTCTTGATCTGTACATGTTGAAATGGGGTATTCACCAAATAGATAACGCGACGCAGACTACTAATTTAAAACAGAAAAAATCAAATCTTAAGAATAATAATTATAAAGTAAAGCAAAGCATTTTAAACACTAATAACAATGCCAATTCCGACGAGATGTATTGCAATAACAAAATAAATCATTCGTTAATGCAGACCCAATCCAACGACTGTTCTAAGTTAATAAATAATATAAGAATGAAATCGAATAATTTGATAGATGAATTTTTTAAGAGACAAAATCCAAGTTCACTATCTATCGAAAATTTCAAGGATCGAACAATAATAAAATCATACGTTGTACCGACGTTTATTAAAAAGTTACAAAAAAAAGGAAACAAATGGGACGAGGTTAATTTATCGAATTGGAATAATATTATGGAGAAAACCAAAGATAAATCTAGTCTTCCTTTATCTTCAGACACGCAGAAAAACCATAACGAAACATTTAATAATCTCATGGAGCAACAAAAAGATATTTTTAAAAATAATAATATGGAAGAAAAATGGACCTACAGATATCTTTACGAAGGGAAGCATTATTTAAAAACAAACGATGCGATGGAAAGCAATACGTCGGATGTACAAAATATTTCTAATCAATATAACTGTAATTTCTTATTTCCAATATCGCATAGAATGGACAATAATCTAGCAAAAACAGCTGATATTCAAAGAAAAATAAGAAAAAATAGAACCGTAAAATCTCATTAAATTTCTATAACTAAAATTTTTAAATAAATAAATACAATTATTCAAACTCACTCGTCTGATACATTGTGAAACCGCAGCCGCGACAATAGTGTCCGATGTACCCTTCCGTGTTTCTAACCAATGTAGTTTAACTCCGGTATCTATAACAGGAGAACTTAATTTTGGACCATTCATTAGAGAAAGTTTAATACTTTTTTTAATGGCGATCATCATCTTTGTTGGTATATCATCAATATTAGAAGCAGATTCTTTTGTATGATCTAATTGTAAAATTTCTTTTTCCTTATAGTTTGGTATTAACGACATAGTTATGCTAACACTATGAAAAGTTTTTCCTATTTTGTATTCAGAAGAGAAAGTGTCTTTGATTGATTTTGTTATTGCTTCTTTGTAAGCTATTTGCAAGGGACCTAGATCGGCATCGATTTTATATTCTGTTTTAATTCTTTCTTTAATAATATCAATATGCAATTCTCCCATTCCAGCCAATACAGTTTGACCAGTATCTTCATCTTGTTTTACTCTTAAACTAGGATCTTCTCTTTCAAGTTCTTGCAATGCAACTTCTAAAGGTAACTGCTTCGACAAAGACGGTGGTTCTATAGAACAAAAGAAGACAGGATCTGGTATTGTAGTACCAGAAGTAAAAACATCCACTTTTCTTCCAGATGATGATTCAGTAGATTTTTTCATATTTTTTTTCGCTTGCTTCGCTACTGAAGCGCTAGTAGTTATCAAATCACCAGTAACAGTTGTTTGTAATCCAGTAACAGCTGCAATATTACCATTATTAATTTCATTAATTTCTTCGTAATCGTCTGCACAGGCAAGATATAAACGACTACTTTGTTCTACCTTTTCTTTTCTAACATTATATATTTTATCGCCTTTCTTCATGGTACCCGTATAAACTCTGAAAAAAGTTATAGCTCCTCTTTGTTTATCATGTACGATTTTAAATACACGTGCAGATAAATTATTTTGGAAACAACGATATTCGTTTCCAGACTCATCTGGAAATGGCAAATATAATATGACACTATCCATTAAAGGTTGTACACCAATATTTTTGTAAGAACTACCAATAAGAACAGGTACACCTTTTCTCGATAATGTAATTCTCCTTAAAGATTCACATATCGCTTGATCTGTTATTTTATCGAGTGATTCTTCTTCTATAATCACATCTGCTAATTTGTCGTCTAAATTAGATAATTTATCTATCAATATTTCACGTTTCTCGTTTGCCATATCCCATAAATCTTTGTCTTCGTTTTGTGTTAATTTTTTTTTTAGGAAATCAAGTCCTTGACTTTTTTTATTAAATATTATTTTTTCTAAACTTATAATGTCTATTAGACCTTCCAAAACGTCTCCTTTTTTTATAGGATACTGTATCGGTAATGCATTGACATCTAATTTCAATTCTATAGATTTTAAACATTCTTCAAGATTTGCATCCAGTCGATCCATTTTATTGATATAAATAATTTTAGGTATTTCATATTTATCTGCTTGTCGACAAACTGTTAACGTCTGAGCTTCTACACCAGCTGATCCGTCAAGTATAACAACAGCACCATCCATAACGCATAATGCTTGTTCTACTTCCATAGTAAAATCTATGTGTCCAGGTGTGTCGATTAAATTAAAGCGATGATTTTTCCAATTAAATGTAACTGCAGCGGAAGTTATCGTTATACCACGTTGACGTTCTTGTTCCATATAATCTGTCACTGTATTTCCATGATGTACTTCTCCCATATTTTTAATAAGTCCGGAATAAAATAACATTCTTTCAGTCGTTGTTGTTTTGCCTATAATAAAAAATAAAATACAAGTGTTTTATTTGTTATTTAAAGTGTCAAGTAAATAGTGGGATATAAAAATAATATTAACCTGCATCAATGTGGGCCAAAATTCCAATATTACGTATTTTTTTAACATGATGTTTTTTTGAACTTTCATTCAAACACTTTGTGCTGTGTAAATATTGTTTACGAAGCTTACACCATGTAATTTTCATTAATTTTCGTTGTAACATGACGTTGGAGATTCAATCCTATAACAATCAATACCATAAATAATAATACAGCCATACACATAAATATTTAATTTATAATTGTTTACTTATCAAAATTTTATCATTGTATTTTTAATTCTTTATAGTTGTTTCGTTTTTTTAGGTTATCTTCATAATGCAACTGAAGAACGTTCGTGATGCACTCTATCGTAAAAAAAGTGAAATAATTTTGTATAAATGCATGGATGTATCCATGCATAATAATTATTCACAATCAGTAAATTTAATTATACACAAATATAAAAACTATTTATTTTATTAAATGTGTTAATATTGATACACATTTTAAAAAAAAAAAGAAAGTATCAATTATTGTATGAAAAGAAAAGGGTTGCGTCAGGGTTTGGAGAAATTAAAAGATAAATTTAGATAATTGATATTTTGTATACATTTTAGATTAAAATAATTACATGTCATGTTATACCTATTATATTAACAATTATAGATACCTACGTTTAATAGTTGATTCATCAAAATATGTGTTAAACTTTTTCCAGTAACGTCTCTTTTTAGGATCTTTCTGACTACTTGCTGGACCTAAATTAGACATTAAACCTGCAAAGTATCAAAATTACGATTACTTCAATTATTCTAATTCAAATTTAAGTTCTTCATTAGAAATATTTTAATTACCAGCTTTCTGTGCCATAGCGACCATAATAGATACTCTTTTTTGTTGTACACCGCATAAACCAGTGATCCTTCGTGGTAACATACAACCATCAGACCTGACAAATTGACTTAATATAAGAACATCCTAAAAGAAATTCATTTCCATTATTATATACTGGTAAAATAAGGTACACAATTAATGGTAAATAAATAATTATTTAATTTACAGTATGTTTGACGTTGAGATTGTGAGAACATAATGGACAAGCTCCATTTTTAGTTTTCATTAATAAATGGGCATTCTCCTGAGGTCGTATAACAGCTTCAATAATTACATTATTTCCTTCTTTCTTTTCAATTACTAAAGCAGAAAATGTTGGTATTAGAAACGGTAACAATAAATCGTATAGGTTATGGCAATATAAATAAAATAAATTGATTAATTGTTAGATAAAATATTTTTATAAATAAATTATTCAACTTACTTTCTTTGATACGTGTTGTAGCAGATAATGATATTGCTCTATTATAATCTGGAATAATAAAAGATTTTTTAATTTGCGATACAAGACGACCGAGCGTGGCCATTTTGAAAAACTGCACACAATACTTTCTGAAATGTTATAATTAAAATAAACGATGTATTAACGTTGTGGGAAAACTTAAATACTCTTTTTTTTAATTAATATGTACGCAATATAAGAGATAAATAATATAAAAAAAAAAAAGAAAAATTTTACATTTGGTAAATCGATAGAAGGGTTCTTATTGGTCGATTGTATTCTATCGATATACGAAATGTCAGACGACGTGGCCAATAAAACATGGTGGCTTTCTTAAATAATACAGAACAAGTTGTCGTGTGATTCATAGTTGTCATGCGATATATATAAATAAATATTAAAAATAATTTATTATTGTTCTCATTAAAGTTGATCTGAAACTGAACAATATTTAAAACGAAATTGTGATCATATTATTTTAATGCAAGATGGGCTTGTGTAAGTGTCCGAAACGAGTAGTAACAACTCAGTTTTGTTTTGAACATCGTGTCAATGTTTGCGAACATTGCATGGTTACTAATCACCCAAAGGTATGTTAATTAAAAATAATATTTTTACAGAATAATATTTATACAGAATTTTAATAAACATACTTATTAAAGACAAATTTGTAAAGGTTAGATTAACAAAATTTGATTATGTGTAAATAATTTAATTTGACTTTTTAAAGGAATTTAAAATAAATTAATTGAATGACGTTTATACGTCATTATTTACCTTTTACAGTGTATAGTACAATCATATCTTTTATGGCTTCATGATCACGACTATAGTCCAGTTTGTATACTATGTTCTGGAAATTTAAGCGATGGAGATTGCGTACGATTAACTTGTTATCATATGTATCATTGGGCATGTCTGGACAGATTTGCTAGAGAATTACCAGCGACAACAGCACCAGCCGGTTATACTTGTCCGTCTTGCAAAGCATGCATTTTTCCACAACCAAAATTAGTATCTCCAGTAGCAGATGTTTTAAGAGAAAAATTGGCAGGCGTTAATTGGGCACGAGCTGGTCTTGGCTTACCATTGGTAAATTTTCTATATACTTGGATGAATAACATATTCTTATCAATATATTTAATCAATTTTATTATTTAATTTATATAGCTCAGTGAGGACAGAGAACAAAAACCAGAACCAGAACATGTTACATCAGCTTTGGAAACGTATTCCTATCACAATCATATCATGACAACTTCTGCACCAACTGTAGCTACACCCCGTACTAGTAGTAATGTTAGTTCAGCCAATTCTAATATTAATAATGATCACTTAATGAATCAAAAAGTTGGTCCACCTTATTCTATAGTAAATATCGAAACATCAATGTCTCTGACCAATCAAATGTCTAAAAAAGTATGTGAAGCTTACGATGATCCTAAAGACATGACCTTCGATCATGATGAAAATAAATATCAAAGAAAGTCAGCTATCGAGTGGTTTTTAAGGTGGTGGAAATTAATTTCAAGGCAACCTGTAAGACGAAGGGGTCCGACTAGTGGTTTCATGCAAAAAAGATATCTCTTCATTACTCTTGCTGGCTTAGCAATGTTCTGTATCATTCTCATCCTTCTTTCTTCGTTAGGAAGAATGTCTACGGATAGAGATCCAAGCTACAGCGTGTTAGGTCATCCACATGTTAAAGTTGAAGAAGATAAATTTGGTATGTAATATGTTAAGAGAGAAACAACGAACAAGATATAAGTCATATTACGAATAATAAAGACTATTTGATAATATATAACAACAAAGTTAGAGA